GGCACCTCTGGGTGAGTTTGAACCCCTAACCGTTGGGTTGGTGTTCCAGTGCTTAGCTATTTCACCACCAGGGGCTCCATGGAGAGGGTAAGGATAAAGATTAGAGAAAGAAAGAGGAGGAGGAGGAAGAAGAGGAAGCAAGTCTCTCCACCTGCTGGAGACAGAGGCTTCCAGAGCTGCTCTCAATAAATAGTTCTTGGCTGCATCCTGGAGTGGATAAGCTTGATAGGGAAATACAGAGAGGTAAACAGGAGCTAAAATGGCAGCACAAAAATGGGCATTAACCATTAGAAAGGAGGCAGAAAGGCATGGCGGTTAACAGTGAGGGCTCTGGGTTTGAACACCGACTCTCCCACTCGCTAGCTAAGTAACCTTAGGCAAGTTACCTAACCTCTTCCTCAGTCGTACAGCAGTACTAGTACATACCTCATGAGGCTGCCCAGAGGATTCAATGAGTGAAATGTGCAAAGTGTTTAGCATAGTGACTGACGCGTGGAAATTACCAATAAATGTGAATTGTTGCCACTATATGCCATTTTAAATCTGATACTTATATTCCTGAAGGGACTTTATAGTAAATCAGCTGATATTAAAAACCAGAACTTCTAGAGATGTGTTAGGCTATGGTCATAGAGAGTGGAACCGGCATTGAAACTCATTTTGATGCCAGACAATGAGTTTTACTGACAAACTGGGTAGGACATGAGGAGAGAGGTATCATAAAGAAGGGTGGGAGAAATGTCACCTAGGATTGGGTGGAAATAGGTGTTCGGGGGAACTGGATGAGGAAGGGCTTCACCCTTATCAAAGTCACTTCGAGGTGACAATAGAACAGCTGGTCAAACGTGTTTGCAATGGTGGTCAAGTTCGATTGGACAAGAGTGAATGATTAGAGGACACCTAACCCCCCAGCATGCCATCATTTCAAACTCCCCCTCCAATGATGCTGGTCTGATCATTCTTGCAGGTGCAAATCCAGAAGTCATTTTTCTACCACATTGTTTCCGTCTTCCCCGTGGAATCTGTCTTCTCTTCCTCTCTTCTTCCGTAAAGCCCTATTGTCGTTGTTAACTGCCGTTGAGTCAGCCCCCACTCGTGGCAATCCCATATGACAGAGAGGAACTACTCCATAGGGTTTTCTTGGCTGTAATCTTTACAGAAGTAGTTCACCAGGACTTTTTTCTGCAGAGCCACTGGATGGGTTTAAATCACCAACCTTTAAGGTTGCAGCCGATTGCAAACCTCTTGTGCCACCCACGCTCCTTAATGCCCTATCCAAAAAAACAAACCCACTGCCACTGAATCTATTCTGACTCATAGCAACCCAATAGGATTTCCAAGGCTGTAAATCTCTATGGAAGCAGACACATCTTTCTCCCTCAGAGCCAC